GTAACATTCGGCAGGGACGTATTAAGAGTCACGCAGTACATATTTTAGATAGTAGATGCTGCTTTGCGTAACTTTGTAGTAAATTAGCACAACTCGATGTGTATACGATTGGTGATGGATATAGGATCATGTGGGGGTGGGGTAAGAAATATATAATGATGTAAATATACATAAGGGTTTCAAAATTTTCGCTTCGATTTCCAGCTTCGGATGCCGCCTGATGTTTGGTGAAATACAGTCGAATATAATCTCAAAATGGCGTTTAAATTATCCTAAATTAAAAATAATCGTATATCTCTTAAAATTGCTTTTAGAATATTGATTAGTATATTTTTTGATTTCTAGGTAAATATGTAACCAAATTAAAACGTTCAAAACGTAAAAAAATGTGCATGGTTGAACATTGTCAGAAAGTAGATTCTTGAATAGGTTTTGCCAAAATGGGTTCAAAAATGTCAATAGTTAATTAAAAAATACAGTAGCTTTATAATTACTTATAACTTACCGAATTTGATGAACGACATCTTTTATTGGAAAGATGAGCTTGATGAGCTTTCATCATCGCTACCGCCTGAAGCACCAACGTCAATAATGAATGGCTCGACTTGTTCCTCTAAAATATTGTCCAGTTCCCACATTCTCTTTTCAACTTTGTCTTTCACGTGCTTAATACAGTTTTCCCATTTTTGCGCTGTTATTAATTCTAGTGCTTCTTTGAAAAGTCCTTTGAGGTCACAAAATTTAAAAGTTGTATTGTGCTTAGCTATATAATTTTTAACCTCTGCCCATATGAGCTCAATGGGATTGAGCTCGCAATGGTATGGAGGTAAACGGAGCACAGTTTTATTTTGACTTGCTGCCATTTCGTCAATGGCGTATTTTTGATATTCCGCCTTGTGATCCTTGACAATTCTTAATAATTGTACTTTCAGCATTGCTTCTTCAAAGTTGATATTTTTCTAGCGGAGCCAATTTTGAACATCAACTTTCCTCGAAGCCGTTGTTGGGACCTTCTCCATTCTTCGAGAATGATAAGGCGCATTATCCAACACAATTACTGCGTTTTCCTCTAAGTTCGGTAACATTTTTGAAAACCACTGTTCAAACGATTCGCCATTCATTTCCTCGTGGTAATCTCCAGTTTTCTTAGACTCAAAGCACCACAGACCGTCAACAACAAATCCATCCTCACTGCCAATATGGCAGATAATGAGCCTTTTCCCTTTACCTGGAAATCGAAGTACTAACTACTACTACTATTTCAATAAGCGAACCTTTTTCAAATGTTTTCAACACATTCAGCGAAAAAACATTGAGACATGAGTATCAGATTGCTATAATTGGGATTATTTAGTCATATTGAAAGAAAGAATATTGAACGTCGTATGATTACTCAGCGCTACACAATTTAATTTAAAGTTATAAACCTTTATAAAATGAATGATCAGGAACCTGAAATACGCGCAAATATTAATATTAACAAATTATAACTTTATAAAGCTTAAAGTATGAATTAAAATGATTAGAAATATTAGGAACGGTACACAATATAAAACTTAGTAACTTTTTTTAAGTTTATAATATTCGACATATTTTAAGATTATATTAAAAAATTATTGAAATATCGAAAACACATAAAAACATGGCTTAAAAAAGTTCTAACAAATGAAAATGATAATAAAACATCCACGGATTTTATCGAAAGTTATAAAAGTTTTGTTACTTGTAATATGTTTTATCTGCCCCCTGGAATTAATGTTTAGAACCTTGTTTCCAAGGTTTGAAAAACATCCGATTGTTGTCTATTTCTCGTATTTACCTGCTGGATTTTTTAATCCGGTGGACAGTCCATCTAGAAAGGCCCTCCTGGATGAAGTTACAGAATCATCAACCCATACTTTATTTGCAGTGTGTCCTGCATTTACCCACGTTTCATCAAGGTAATAAATCTTCCTGTTTTGATTTCTATATTTCCCAATTTTTGTTAAATAATCTCTCCTCCATAGCACAATTTCTTCTCTATCCAGTAGTAAACTATTACGACCCCGTTTTTTCCATTTGAAATTTAAATGCTTCAGTAACGCATGGAAAGTTGATCGTTTGAAATTTGGCAACGTTGTATCTCCATTTACCTCCTGCAGTACTTTATCTATAGTAGGTATTTCATTCCTAAAGAAGAATTCATGCACTTTCCTCCTAATCGCATGCTTATCAGCTTCATCCAATGATTTAACAATACTTTTGCGATGTTTACTAGTCATTGGCTCAGAAAAGGTGTGATTTTTTTGTATTATCTTAACACATTAAACACTGATGCGCGACACACCCCAACTTTGTGAGAAACCTTCACAACAATTTCTTTGATGGTTGATGCCTCGTTCTCCTCGCGCTCGATCTTATATATATTCAAAATGACCTCTTTCATTTCTGCACTCAGGTGTCTTTTTTTAGAGCGTTTCCTAGATGGACTACAGGAGTTTACAACTTCATCGGCAGTATCTGTACTACTGGGCATTTTGCGCAAGCAGTTGATAACAATAGCAATCAATAACAAGGTATAACAATAACAACGACAAACTCAACAACTTAATAAGATAACAAACGAAAACGTCCAAAGAAATATCAAATTGCAATGATGCACACGACATACGTAACACGTCTGAACCTGAATGTGACTCTGCCTTGATACGACTGCTCTGCCGCTCGGCATAGGCATTTAATTACGAATTGACCAATGAGGGCTTCTGTTTTACGTCGAGACGGCGCCGTTAGCGTGAAAATCACCCGAAACTTTTGTTTACATCCGGTCTATCTCTTATCTGAATATACTGTAGTAGGGCAGAAAAACATGTTTAAACGCCATCAGTTTTGTAGACTGCTGTCCTCGCTACCTGTCTCTAATATATTCGCCTAGTATCAACATTGATCAACATATTCTACCTGAAGATAGCCAGCCTAACGTAACGTTCTGATTTATTTCTGCGACACTAATTTATAACAAATTTGAAACTGTGTCGACCGGACTGTTATTCCGTCTGTCCGCTAACTTGACTGTGTTCGACTATGACTAACTGCTTCCGCCATCTGGTCGGGTATTTATTTACATATCGACGCGTCGAGATATGTTCTAGCGTTTTCCAGAGTCGTCAATTTCCAGGGAAGTAGTCTAGATGGCAGTAGGTGCTTCCAGAGGGATGTCAATTATTCTCGAACCTCGACCCAACCCTTTTTAGACAGCGCCGCAAGCAATTAGTTACCTAACCTTAAGAGACGTGTATACAAAAAATTGATGTTTTCAATTGGATTGGGTATTGGAGTATGCTAATCAATAGTGCAAATCTCAAAAAGTTTGCTTGTAAGACTTCTGCAGGAAATTTACTTGCAGCTAGAGTTATAGTCAATTACACCATTTTTTTAATTTTTATTTACGAATATAGAACATTCAGACTTGTATTTTGAATATCTCAAAGCAGTAAATTAAAATGGTCAAATGGCTACTGAGAAATTTATTTCGTTTTTTTTTCACAATAAAAACTGGGCTAGTAATACAACATATACTAAGTGACATATAAATCCGAACAGCCAGTTTAAATGGTTTTATTTTAATAAAAGTTAGTGAATGTATTTATCTTACTGTAAATAACAAGTGAAAAAATTTTCAGCCTTATCAGTTGGACATTCCGGTTTTTATACTGCTTTTTTTTAATTCACTAACGCTCTAAAAATGAATATTTCAGCCGCAGTAAAGAATCAACGTTGGCGGATTTTGGTTCTTGACATCCTTTACGATCGGTTACGATGCCTAGAGTACGGAGACCTGTACGATTTCGTCAACTTAGTGAGTTTGATAGGGGCCGTAGAGTGGGACTTCGGGAAGCTGGACCTTCTTTTCGGGCAATTGCAGTTAGAGTGCAAAGAAGTGTAGACACTGTGGTTAGGTGTTGTCAGGCATGGCTTCGAGAAGGCCGTACGCAAAGAGCAAGGGGCACTAGACGCCGCCGTAGAACAACAGACCGTGAAGATCGCCGCCTAAGATTATTGGCCTTAAGGGACCGTTTCTCCACTACCAGGTCCATTGCAAATGAATGGTTGCAGAACACGGAAGACCTATTGGCATGCGAAGTGTTTACCGACGAATGAGAAGTTTTGGCTTGTTTTCATACCGGCCACACTGGGTCCTCCCTTTAACTCGAGAACACCGACGTAATCGCCTTGAGTGGTGCAGACAACGGTCACTCTGGGATCAGGAATGGAACAGTATTCTCTTTAGTGACGAGTCTCGATTTTGTTTAGGCATGCACGATGGTCGTGCCAGGGTTAGAGGGCGACGTGGTGAAAGGAGGAATCCACAGTTTTTTGTTGAAAGACATGTTCATCACACTGTTGGAGTTATGGTTTGGGGTGCTATAGCTTATGGTTCCAGGTCACCTTTAATCTTCATCAGAGGTAACATGAACGCGCAGCGTTATATCCACGAAGTTCTAGAACCCCATCTTTTACCCTATCTTGACACCCTGGCAGATCCAACTTTCCAACAAGATAATGTCCGACCACATGTTGCAAGAGTCACAATAGACTTCTTTCAACATAATGATGTCACATTGTTACCATGGCCACCAAGATCTCCCGACTTATCCCCAATTGAGCACGTGTGGGATATGATGGGTAGGAGATTGCTCAATTTGCAACGTCCTCCTCAGATTCTAGAAGCACTTCGAGAGGAGTTGGTGGTTGCCTGGAATGAGATACCTCAGGAGGACATTGACCACCTGATCAGAAGCATGCCTAGGCGCGTTGGAGAATGCGTAGCATCCACACATTATTAAAGGTCAAAGGGCTTTAAAGCAGTGCAATCATTTTGAAATTTTTATCGTTTACTTATTATGCTTCATTAAGTACTTATACAAAATTTTATTAAAATAAAACCATTTAAACTGGGTGTTCGGATTTATATGTCACTTAGTATAGATTGCTAGGTTAGTTAGTGTGCTGTTACTCACATATTTCGACGTCAAATTCGAAGATCATGGTTGAAAACGAAACAATGAAAATATTCACGAATATCTAAACAAAACTAATAAAACAAAACACGCACAACATATAAAAGAAATCACTGAATCGACGTCGAACGCTTTCTAAAGATGGAACACGACAGCATGAGTGTTCTAATAACCCATCTTCGCGACGCGTTGGGAACACACTGAACAATGAACGAAATTCTGAACGCAAAATAAGCGGTCGCCAAAACTGACTCGGTATTGACGTTAGTGTTGCTTGGTTTTAAAAATATGGGTAGAATAGTGTGGCGGATAATCCTCAGCCGGAATATACCGAGATATTTTATTTTTGATGATAGGAAACGGTGAGATACAATCGAGTAGACGGAGAAACTGTTACATCTGTCTTGATGCATGGACAACATATTTCATCGATGTTCTTACTTAACGAAACAATAAATAAAGAAAAAAAACGAGGTTTTTGTCTGTTCAAAACGAACAAAAAATTGAGAAATAATTTTTTCCTTTTAGAAATGTTTTATACTCTTCAAGCTAGGTCACTTTTTTATGTTGTTTTTCTGTGTCCGCTGATTGGATTTTGGTGATGGACTGGTATACTTTATCTGAAGTCACTTGAAACACTGTGAAATACCGGGTGCGTTTTATATATCTATATTTAACAAGCTCTGTTGCTGCAAAAATCGCCAAATTTCGCAGCAAATATCCCCCGTATAAGATCAAAAGCAGTTTCACCGGTCCACGTGGAGTAAAGCGCGCCTATGCGTAGACATAGCCAATGAGAAAGCGTGTATTTCAGAGCTCCGAACAAGTGCAGGTGGCTACTGAAAATTGAAACAGTTTATCCAGTGCCGTGTAGCGATGAATAAACGTGTTTTCTTTAGTCTGTCCGTGTTTTTTCATAGATTTTATTAGTTTGTGTGTTTTTGACTTTTGAATACTCAGTTAACTTGTTGATTTAATTGTTGTGTTGATTGTTCTTGTGTGTCCTAAATATGGCTCTTTGGAGACCTTGGGAAAATGCTCCAAGCCACGAGGAGATGGTTGATGAACCTCTGTAGGCAGAATTCTTTCATAAAGATTTAGAGGAACAGACCCAAAGAGTAATCCTAAATATGTATGATTGTCTGAAAAACGAAAATCCAGATTCCTCGCAAAATCAAATTTTAAACAGAATTTGTATCCTGACAAATATCAGTCGGTCTACCATTTATCGGGTTATAAAAAGGGGAGATGTAGTCAACCATTCCTTCCACAGAAAGCGCATAGGGCAAAAATTAAAAAGAATAGACGTGGGTTTTCAGGAAGATATTCGTCGTATAATATACGGATTTTATAAAGAAAATTTGGTGCCCACGTTGGAAATGATACGGGATAAATTAAAAGATTATCCTGAAGATTTTTATAATTACAAATGCTTAGACTCACTGCACTGTATTGTAAGACTGTGTGGTTTTCAATACAAAAAAATAGATAAAAGAATGGTGATTATGGAGTCGTCTCGAATCGTTGAATTGCGCCAAGAATTTTTGCACAAAGTTAAAATCTATAGAGAGCAGAAAAGAAATCTGATTTACCTGGATGAAACGTGGTATGATACCCATGATGTTGTGCAGTACGGCTGGGTTGACGACAGCAACAAGTGCATTTTAAATGCACCATGCAACCGTGGAAAACGAATCATTATTCTCCATGCTGGCAGTGAAAATGGATTTATACCTAATGCCTTGCTGTTATCTGCCAAAAATATCAAAGAATCATGTGCCGACTATCATGTGGACATGACCTCCGACTTATTTGAAAAGTGGATAGAGCAGCAGTTAATACCAAACATTTCCCCAAATTCAGTGATTATTATGGACAATGCGCCATACCATTCCCGACAGAAAAACAAAATTCCGAATACAGGCACAAAAAAACAAGACATTATTGATTTTATGAAGGATAAGGGAATGGAAATACCACAAAAATCAACCAAAGCCATATTATTGGATCTTATTAAAAGACAAAAATTTGAAAAAGAGTATGTTGTTGACAATCTGCTTCAGCAAAATGGCCATGAAGTATTACGTCTACCTCCCTATTACTGCATTTTTAACCCGATTGAGTTGGTCTGGGCTGCTTTAAAAAAAAAGGTAAGAAAACATAATCAGACCCCTCAATTAAGTGAATCGCTATTGGCCACAATAAGAGATGCAGTATCTCATATTGCTGCCACAGACCTATGGAAGCAGTGTTCTAGGCATATTATTGAAAAAGAAAATGAATATTGTATTTTGCCTCCTGTAAATCCCGTTGTAATTCCTCTACAAGATGACTCTAGCGACAGCTCCGAAGGCGAGGATGATATATAAATACCTATAATGTAAGTCTTTATATACCTTTTTATGTACCTACCTGCTTTGTAAATATTTGCCTATGTCAAACGTTGGAATTCTGTAATTTTTCCATTTCTTAACTTTCAGTCAACATAAATTAAACTCCCAATATAAGTATTTTTTATCCCAAATCAAAAAAATAAGAAGATAGTAAAATCCATTTATTGTGATATAAAAACATTATTATTATCGTTCTAAATAAATGACCGCACGCCTATGATACGTCATGAAATTACAAAGGACGCGCCGACCAAAGGTTTTTATGCTATTTCAAGTGACTTCAGATAAAGTATACATGCTTTAATAATGTTATTTTTTGGTTTTATATACACTTTATTAAAAAAATACGAATATTTTTTGGTCCAATTTTTTAATCTCTTTTTCATACTTTCTCGAAAAATATCAATGCGACCGAGTTCAAATTTCGTGTCCGCATCGAGTCAAAGTATGTTAATGTTACGAACCCATTGTTAAAAAAATGTTTTTTTATTCCAGATCATCTTTTTACCGCAAACCATTTTGTTAGAAAAAACAAGTACTCTTATTTGACGTTAACATTTTATAATACTTATAATATTATAGGATTATTTGAAAAAACGAGATACTTCTACTTGAACGTCAATTCAGGAGGATTTTTGACGTTTGAATGTCAAACTGTTGATTTAAAAGAAATCGATCTGTGGCAAGGAGCCGTAATAAAATTTTTGCCTGTAATAAATACACGTCAGAATCTATTGAAATATTGTAATGAACAATGCAACCCCCTTGTAACAAAAATATCCCACGTTTATGACAAAATAACTCGAATCCGAATGCTGCCACGTCGTTCCAAACGGAACTGTATTCATTACAAAATTATTACGTGTAAACGTGAACGAAACTTTGTTTTTGATTTGCTTTTAATTTTAACTTCTCGCAATAAAATTATTGTGTATACATTCACGCCGCGATGCGCATATTACATTTGGCACATCAACTCCTGTTATTATTGTTTTTTCAGTGAGAATTACGGTTCGAAAACAGGGGGCCCACCATTCATAATATTTTCATGCAAATATTGAAGCTAGCTTTACATGCAACATTGAATAGTAATGTAAGGATCAATAATCTAAATAAATAACTTGCCTTAAATTTGGCACAGTACCTCACGTTATTAATTTTTTGTTTCGGTGCAAATTACGATTTAAAAACAGAGGGCCAACCATTCAAATCCATTTCGTAAAAATTCTAAAGCTAAGTTTACAAGCCAGAATAAAAGTAAAGTACTTTTAAGCAATAAAGCGAACTAAAAGATATTTGCTTCTTCAAGATTTCAGTGTTTAAGGCGGCTCCGACGCAGTGAGTTGCAATCCATTTACAAGGGTTCAGCTGCTTCAAAACTGACACTCCATTTTTTGTGTGAAGTGCAAATCGGTTTTTGGGCGACTAAGAAGAAATGTATTTAAATAATTTGATATCTTCCCTAAAATAAATTCAAGAACTCAAATTACAATTCGTTTATTCATGTCGTAAACACAATTATGTTTACAAGGGTCATGTGGTACATGGTAACAATTGAATGAGAGTCATAAAAATATCTTATGCCGTCAAAATAAGAGGAAACAGTTAGGTAGTTTTTGCAAAGCAATAAACAGGTAGGCTTATACTTGGATTAAGTACATTTCTTGTCTACTGTAATAGGTAGATGGAGGCGATGCTGCCAGAAATGGATGTGTGCGATCAATAAACAAACCACAAGACTGAACTGCGGTGTCCAATGATTTTTGTATTGCCTTTTTTATTGCGTTACTAGAAAACTCTGTTGGGTATATGATGGAGTTTAATAGAACTTTACAGCTTGTTGTCTGCCTTTTTCTACAAACTTCACCAAATCTAGACGCTGTCAACCTAATCCTCCGATGAAGGCGCGCAAAGTACAGTCCTGTGATTTGGTCACTTGTTCGATCTACAAAATCTCGTCGTCACTTTTTTTAAGTTTCCCTAAAAATTTTCGCTTAGCAATCTCCAAATCAATGTAGTTAATGTCAGGTTTCTGATTGAATTCGATATAAAACTATTCATTTTCTTTGGAATTGCTATCGGAATTGTTAGTTATTTTTATATCAGCTTTTTTTTGGTCTGAGTTTCTTTTCAAGATTCTGGCGTTTGAATCTTTGTTCCATCTTAGCGATAAGCGAGGTTGGACTAAGCTTAGAACGCAAATGTATTTGGACCACATAGACAGGCCGCTGGGTATTGTGGCTCACTACAGCTGCAGCACATCTTCCATGGTATGACCTCTTCTTGCATTTGTAATTAAAATGGTCGCATATGACCCTTTATTGTCCATTATCAGCCTTGATAAAAAAGGCACTCAAGAACAGTCACACCAACAACAATTCAACAACACAATATCGACGAACAGTAACAAGGGGAGAAGAATACTAAATGATCACTTGCTGAGTACCAAAATAAGAAACGATTTACATTCTAGATCGCTAATCGAAATCCGACTCTTTTATTATAAAAATGTACCTTGGTATGCACCCGCGGTCATCCTTTCCTCTTTTAAAGTACCGCCGACGACCGTCTAGGCCCAGCCCGCCCTCGTTTCCTTTTCACCCCCCCGTTACCTCAGCAGATGGTGCTCGCGATTGTAGGAGCCCCGTTAATAACGAAGTATTACGCTTCTTTCGGTTTAAATATTCACACATCTTTTAAATTAGATTTTAATATGTCTATAACGATGAAGATATATTTACAAGCAATTTTAATTCAAGTTCGTAAAAGTATTTTTTTTCTTCAAAGTTAGTGTCAATGTCAAAGAACCCTTGGTAACCTTAGTAGATAATTGACGTGTTTTTTACGTATCTATGTTGCAAACTTACAAGAAATTTTTGTTGGTCATTAAGAAGATAATTTTTACTTTCCTATACGCCCAAAAAAAGAACCTAACGTTGAGGACATATTTTTGGTTAATATACTCAGTGACGCAAGAAGAAATAATTTCTTTTACTTGATTTTTTGGCAATGATGCAATCTGACCTCAAGAGTAAAACCAT